GGGGCATTTTGCAACAATGTTATAGTTCAAGGGAGCAACTTACTTTCAAAAATAGTTCAAGGAGGTATCATGCAACAATGGTATAGCTTAGGGGGCTTTTTTTGCTCTTTTGCCCGTATTATATATATAGTTATGTAATTTAGTAATATTTTATAACATGTAAGGGCAGTTTTGTAAAAATGTACTATAAATGGGCAGGGGGCGGGGTTTCGAATACAATCCCCATCCCTTCGCCATTTATATAAATGGATCCCCAAACCCGCCAAAAATAGGGCGGGGCGGGGACCCGTCGGGTAGGGAAATTTTGTCATCCTACGGCTGAAGGTTTGAAGATCAATGAACCGGAGATTGTAGCTTCTATTGGTTCTTGTTTGTATGAAGCGCCGCCGGAGTTGGTTTGGTTTATATATTGACATTTTATAATTTTCCTTATAAATGTAGAGAAAATAGCGAAATTAATCACTGCACTAAAGCATTACAAGGAAAAAAACATATTTTTTTAAAAAAACATGTTTTGAAATTTAACCGCAAAAAGCAAAAGCAGGGAAGGTTTGATGTGGTTATTAATGAAATTTAAAGAGAAACTATTTTCCTTGATTAATTTTTACTGATACAATTAAAGAAAACTTTCAACTGAGTCTGATCAAAGGAAAGAAGATATTTAAAGAGAAACTAATTTCCATAAACTGTGTTTCCATAAAATTCTATCAAGGTAATAAACCATATCCTTTTTAAAATATAAAAGGAAAAGATAGGAAGAGTGCTGGTAACTCAACAGCTCTGCAAGCTTTATATATATATATATATATATATATATATATATATATATATATATATATATATATATACTGAATCTAATTTATGAAAGGAATCTCAAACCAGAATCACTCGAACTCCAGAATAAATTCCTCATTCCCCTCCATGAGTCCTTCGTCAAATGTGGCACCTTCATCGAAGTACAGCACTGCGCGGGCGAAATGAACACGATCAACCCTCGGGGTTGACTGCAACAATTTGAAATGCAGAGAGCGTGAACTAAGTAAAAAATGCAATCAAACAAAAATCAGAATTAAAAATTATCAGTAACCAACCTTGGACAAAAATGCCAACACAGCCACGGCGAAAGACCAATAGGGCCTAATATTGCTCTCATACTTGATATAGGTCTGAATACCTTTGGAACCAAAAAAAAAAAAAATTAAAGAAGAACATAGTAGCAAACTTTGCAAGAAAAAGAAATAGTGAAAATGGATTTGTACAAACCAAGTATGATGAATGGCATGATTACTGCATTTGTAACGCCAAGAGACTCATCTGGATCCAGATGACTCGGAGGAACATCTTGACAATGATGATCATCTGAGCAGTTGTGACAATAGCAAATAAGAACCAATATGGGTGGGTGGAGAATGTTACAAATAAACTGCAGATCAGCGACGCCATAAATCCGAGTAGGAATCTTGGTAGAGGATCGAAACGATAGCACCGTAGGAATATCTTTCTCAAATATCTGTGCCACGTAAAGAACGGAATGTGGAGAAACAACAACACACACAGAGCTCCTACTTGAAGTCCCTCATTCGGCTTCTCTGCGGGAGGTGGATAGACACATGGTTTGGCCGGTACGAGTTTCAGACTTTCAGAACCATATGCAGAATGCAGAAGTAATATAAAACACGAGAAGAAAGATGCTACCTACATAAACCAAACCCCAAGAGGTCCAAAGAAATTTCTCCATCCTAGAAAGTATTGCCTTTGACGCCATGGTGGTGGTGGGATAGGAGAGGAGAGAGATGGGTTACAGATTAAATGGGAGGAGAGAGATGGGTTACAGATGAAAATAGATGGGAAATAGTGACTGTAGAGTGTGTAGGGTTACTGTAGGTGCGAAAATTCTCTCAACTAATAATAATTAAAAGAAAAAAGACAACCCACCCAAATAATAATAATAAACAAGAACTGAATATAGAGAAGCTCAAATTGCTTGATCCCTCTAGAATCTCTCAAACGGCAGAACGCCTTCTACATATAGAGGAAAGCTGGGTGCCCCAGCGTGAGATTATAGAGATAGTCTTTCTTTCCATATATAAGATATAGAATAGAATGGGTGCCTCTATTTATATACAAAAAAGTGGTCGAATTATGGTGTGACTCGCCTTGCTCATCCTTTAATTCTTTCCATATATAACATAGTTCTTTTGTTTCCCTAATTCTTTCCACATGCGACTTTCCTTGCTCAGACTTGCCTTCTTTGTTGTATACTTTGCTTAACAGGATTGGCCTGGCTTTGAATGTACTTGGGCTGGATGCAACTTATTTTAGATGACTTTATTAATGGGCCGGAGTCTTGACATTGGTGATGTTGGGCTAACTAATGTCTTTATCCGGACTGGACTGAGGTTGGAAGTCCAATATCAATGATACTGGGCTAAAGAGTAATGTAATTTGGGCCTGATCCGAATGGGCCTCTAAAATCTATTAGAGATAGATTTATATTATGATGACGTATACAATTCTTATTAGAGGGGGATTTTTCCCTCCACATTTACAGATCAAAATAGATGGGATAAAGTGCACTAAACCCCTGAACTATGACCCGCGAAAAAACCCCTAAAGTAAAATCATTTTCTACGTGGATCGTAAAGGGTTTAAATTCAATAAAAATCATGTTTTGCACGTAAAAACATTTTCTAATACTCGTTCATGTGTTTAAAGTACGTTAGGGTCAACCTAATTCATTTTATTCCATTTCAGTCCTAGTGCCCACTTAGTGAAGTTAGCTCCTAAGTATGTTGATCAGACTGTCTATTCAAATTGTCTGCTCAAACCTCATTCAGTTTTCAATCTTTAGTCTTCAATGATGTCTTCTAGGAAATCAAGTAAAACAATGAAATACCAATGAAATTTGATTTGGTTATTAATGAAATTTAAAGAGAAACTAATTTCCATCATATCTTGATGAATTTTTTACTGATACAATTAAAGAAAATTTTCACCCACTAGTCAAAAGGTCCACTGTTGACTGAATGATTGTTGGTGTACGTGTAGAGGACCCCTGTTTTGTATATGTGTCTTGTGACATTTCTGTGTGAAAAAAAGAGGATTGAAATGGTAAAAGACAATAAATATAAGCCGTCTGATGTGAAGTTTGTTGAGATGGTCTCTTTATTTTTATTTTTATTTCGATGACATGTGAACCCTCGCAACCATCTGCCCTTTGGACTTGTAGTTACAAGAACTCGTGGCTATCCATCCCGACCCCACAATGCGAATAACAAATAAATTAAAAACTTGCAGTGCCGAAAGAGCATCGAACCCACACCCAAGTACTTAGATTTGTTGGTCTAGCACTTAGAAGTTCCCCTCCCACCAACTCTGCTAGCGCCCATGGGGGCATGGCTTCGCATCTTTGATTGTGGTTTACAGCTGCTTTGCAGAGACTGTACTGTCACAACTCACAGCTGTACGCTTTTTGTTGCCATTGAGAGTGACTCAGTCAAATGTCTTTAATGCTCAAAATTTTCATAAAACGTAGTGTTTGATTGAGCCTAACCTAAGGCATGACTAAGCGAGTTGTTTGAGCGGCGCTAGGGTTTTGTAGCTTTTGCCAAACAAAGCAAAATTGAATATGCAGTGGCTTGGGGCAAAAAATATTAAATGGGTGAAGCTCTTATTTTTAAAACGAGTTATTCATGAACATGTTTACAAATAAACAAATTCACTGTAGAGATGTTTGAGTATGAACATAAGAATCGGCTCATTCAAGCTATGTTGGGAGCAGATTCATTTTATTTTATGATGCCAAATTGCCAATTTCACAATTACGAGCAAATGCTCATTTTCATTGCTTCCCAACAGAATAACTGTCGATTGCAGTTAGGTCTTTGTTCTATATTAGGCTAAAAATAATGATGATTTAGTATGATTCTCTGTAGAAACTTTGTAGTTTTTTTTTTTTTTTTTTTTTTTTTTTGCTTAGTTGAATCTTACAACTTTCATCTTGGATTGATGTTTTTGGGATGATTTTTGTTTTTGTATTAAAAAATACACTCACTGTATTTACAAAATATTTATGATTAAACCCTCATAATTCTTCATTAAAATTTCTATTTAATTAATTTCTCAATGTCCTTCATGCCCCTTTTTGATTAGTCCCATTACTAAGGAAATTAAAGAGTTCTAGTTCTTGGGTATATTTCCAACCATTTTCTGTTTCCCTCTCGACTCAATTGTGCCTTGTGAAGTTTTAAGTGAATATCATAGATATGTATTTTGCTGATATATTGACATATGTATAGTTTGTGAAACTTATTATTCCTGAAACTCCGTCATTTTTAAGGTACAAAACTCCATCATTTTTAAGGTACAAAGGCCCACGTGAAGGAGTTTGTATTTCATTTTTTAGGTACAAAGGTCCAAGTGAAAGAGTCTGTAACTTAACCATGTGTTTCAAGTTGTTTTGTGAGTTAACGTATCAGCGTAATTTAACAATCACACTTGTATCTTTTATCATGATCATTTGGTGTAATTAAGAATTATTAATGATATTGATGTATTTTGAATTCCGTCATTACACTAACCTAAGATTTGTGCCGCTAGATACATTACAACACTCGCCTGATCCACTCACCTTTGACTCCGACTCATCATCATAGAACTGTTTCATTCATACAGGTTTTCCATTCACGGAGAGAGACCCATCTTGATTAGCTGTTGTAAAAAAGATTTGGCCTAGCAAACCTCCTAGGAGTGAGGAAATGAATACGAGAAACTCCAGTTGTACTTCAAATGCTGTGTTTGTAAACATGGGCATAGATACAGAGTGTAGACGGAGTCATACATGTACCAGCTACCATGAATGAAGAAGACAGTGCAGCTCAATAAGCAGTGCATTCTCTGATACAAAGACAAAACATGCATACTCATAACTAGAGATATCATGATGCCTTGACACAACCACAATGATGAATGTGCACGCGAGCACACACACACACAAACAGTAACAAAGACGTGTACATACATTAACAGAGTTCAAGAATCAAGTTTTGAAATGTTTTATACAATAATTGCCACTGAACATTGTAAATGTGGATTACACAAGTATAACACAGGAATGCACTGAAGGCTTGATTTTTGAATTAGGTAGTACAAAGAAAATTATACTTCTGCATAACCATGTATGTATAACCAAAATGCCACTGTAAATATATATATATATATATATATATATATATATTTGGAAATTCACCGTAATTATATTTCTCCCAACTGAAAGGAGACAAGTTCCCACGGAAGAAAGTCAAAGCCGTAAAATGTCTTGCAAAACCACCTAAATGCAAATGGCAGCCAATCTTGAACAAGCAGCAGTCCTGGACTTCCATTAAATATCCTTCACAGCTTCTACCATTAGCTTATAGAGTGCAAATCCTCCTTGGTGGCAGCCAGGCATTTTAGATGTCATGTTCTCCAAATCATTCTGACGCATTGAAAAGAACTGGTAAGCAGTATTATAAAATAACAAACAAATCATCCAAATTATATAAACATCCATATTTTATACAGAGCAAGAGTTGTAAAAATAGCTCCACGGTGACAAACCCTAGCACTCAAATGTGTTCCCAAGTTCCTTAATAATATGAATGAGCATAATAGTAACTTTAATATAAACCTCTATCATTCATTACTGCCTGTCGCTACCACGATAAATAAATAAATATTTTTTTCAAAAAAAATTAATACTAACAATAATTAAATAAATAAATTAGAACGAATGCCACAACAACCAATCCACGACGACCAATGGAACCACACAACTTAATACCTTTGACTCCACTCTAACAATGAATCCACACACACCACATTAACCCTCACCCACCACAAATGGATACACTGCTGTCACCCCATACCACCAACACCACAAACTCATTGCACTATCAGCCAATACCAACCAGTCTTCGGCCATTGCCGTATTGCAATGCACATGTAGAAGTTCTGAGAACTAGTGGGAAAACAGAACAATTAATTTATAGTTCACAACAATTAACTGCATGATGACACCTCAAGGGAAAAAAAGAATAATTAACCAACCATTGAAACAGTAAAAAGCTGTGTTGATTCATATCCATCTTGTGCACTAGAATACAGTTGTTGAATTTCCTTTGACTGAAGACTGCACTTGATGAAGAAAAAAACAGCTGGTCTAACATTCAATACCCTCCGCGATATACCAATAAAGACTGGCTTGCACTACATGAAAATCAAATGATCAACATTACGCATATCATAGAATACATAACAAACAAATGGTCCCAGTATTGAAATTATTATCTTTGTAAAGTAATAAAAAAATAAAAATAAAAATAAGAAACGAGAAAAAACCAAAAAAATAAAAGGTGAATAGGAAGCCATGAAAAACTGACGACTAAAAGAATAAATCATTTCAAGAGGAATTCAGAAAATATTGCCGTAGACTGAACATCATAAATAAAATTCCCCACTGCACCAGCATACTATGGTGGGGGAATTGGAAGTGTCAACAGTCAAGGATCCCTTCAGTCTCCTTATGCACTTATCCAAAATAAAAACAACAAATTTTGGCACCATCAATCTTTACTACTTTGACTTCATCATAATTTTACTAAAATTACATATTCAGGTACTCTACTTTTGTATATCATGATATTCTTGCATTCATTTGTACTTGTTTGCAGGGACGGATCTAGGAATTCATATGAGGGGGACAAATTTATATAGAGGGGTTTTTTCATAATTTCAGTGGGGGCAATTTTAAAATTTTATTGGTATAAATGCAAAAAAAAAATATAAATTTAAGGGTATAAAAAGCAATAATAAAAAATTTCAGTGGGGGCGGATGCCCCCACTGAGCCCTTCACAGATCCATTAGTGCTTGCTTGCTGAGAGGATGATGTGAACAGAAAACCAACCAAGTCAACCGCATAATATCTAAAAGATTCTAACTTTTTCTATGGAAAAAATTGCTGTGAAATATATATTATCGAAAATATTTCAAAGGGAAGGAAAAAAATGATTTTGCAAGTATAATCCATAATATGTTAGAAGCAGCAGAAATAAAGAAAGTTACCAGTCAGAAAATAAGGGAGTAGACAACTTGAGAGGATGATTCCATACATAATTTAGTGATCATAACTTACAAGCGATACTGCAGGTACTCCAATTTCTTCAACTACTTCACGAACAATGCTGTGAAACATCTCTTGCGAAACCTTTCTGTTCACAAGCTCAGAGTTTTGCAAATCTTTGTCATACAAATGGGTCACTATTCCAACTTCTTCGGGCTGACAACCATCAGAGATGTATTATTGAACAACGAAATCCAAATAAACCAGGTCCTTTTATCAGAAATGATAAAACGAGAAACAAACCGTGTTTATAACCGCTAGACAATAAAGAACAGAAAAAAATATTTCTATCAGACTAGAAAAATACAAAAGCATCCAAAACCAACCCCCCAAAAGCAAACTAGTATTGCAGAGTAGACTGCCTAAGCCCAACCAGATATACCAGCAATGACAACCAAACCCTCTTGCACGATTTCTGAAGGGAGAGAATGTGCAAATATTCTAAATTTCTATAAACAAGTAGAAACTTGAAAGACTAACATAATAAAAAGGGACACTACCAACTTTCCTGATAATGCAGGGTACTGGGATAGCCAACTGGGTAGGCTCAATATCCTGGATTTTTTTTGCATACAAAAGCTGCTCTTAAAGCTGAATCCACATTCCCATGCTTCCTTACTCGAGCTTTTAACAATCCGCCAAGCAATGGTTCCTTTTTGAAAGCCTATGCATATCTATCGAATAATATCTTTGTGAGTTATAGATTAGATACCTCTGGATGGCCTCCAGGGAAAACAAAGTGTCCAGGAAATTCCCCAACGTTATTGCTTCTTTGCAGCACGACTATCTTCTTGTCAGATGTCTCTACAACTGCAGCATTACCCAGTGGGCTCGAGGTGTGCTCACACCGTATGCAATCATCTACAAACAAGTACAGGTATGGCATTAAGAATGTATTTTTCATAAATCATATTCAAGGATGCTAGAAAGGTCAAGGCAATCACAATCATCTGTCTTACTTGATTCAAGCTGTCCAACCAAAAAAAAAAAAAGAGTCCAAATTTTTTGAATAAAAAATTGAATTTAACACTTGGTAGTTTATATGCTGATCCAATGTTCTTTGTTAACATGACATTCTTATCCTGCATTTTGTTTTAAAAATCAAGAATTTAGGAATTCAACTAACTGATTTAAGCCTCATTTGCGAAAAGAGCTACCAACCGACAATCCAAGGGTCCTTCGCAAGTGGTATTTTGGATGGTTAGCAGATCATGTAAATATATTGACAATTGACAATGCAATAATTTGGGGGAGATTTATTCCCAATTGGTGCTGTATGGGAAAGAAAAATTAGGGGGAGATTTATTCCAAATTGGTGCTGTATGGGAATGAAAATGGGGGGTCAGTTGACCCAATTTTTTTATTCACTATGACGTGGCCAGGGAGCTGCGGATTCTTACTTTGGCTATGTTTAGGGTCAAGTGGGTAATCCCAGTTTTGGTGATTCAGCTTTTCCAGAATTGGACAGGGAGCTATAATGTTCAAAGGTGAAATAGGATTGGGAATGTGGCTGCTTCATCCATTATGTAGTGTTTCTGGGGAGAATATGCTGACAGAATCAGCATTGCTTCGAGAGGGTCAAAGAGCTAAGTTGAAGAGTCACTTTCTGAGTCCCTTTATAGTAGGCTGACACTAGGATAGAGATGGTCGATCCCTCATAGGACTAATTTTTGGATCTTGTAAATAATATAATTTTTTTTATTAATATACTAAATATAACTAATGTTGTACATGGCATGTCTACTGTCTACATGGGTTGTGTCCGCCTTTTGTACCAGATTATTTTACTTGACAAAAATTATCATACAACATATAATAAATGTATAGCTTTATACACGTAACATATCACTTGCATTTAGTATTATTACATATCTAATAGCAATAAATTCATATTCAACGTTTCAAACTCTATATTGTAAAATCTGTCATGTTACTAATCAGCCAATTTCATATAATTAGTAATCAGCTTAGATCAGATACTGACAGTTACAGGAGGTCCCTAACCAGTAATAATCTAAAGCTAAAGTTTGACAACGACATACAGAATATAACAGACAATTCCTCAACCTGGTTGGGTAAATTGGAAGACAGTCCCTAGTTCCAAAGACCGTGTGACTAATTAGAAACTATGGGAGTCATCGCTTGAAAGTTCGCGTGCAGTACCGATCCAGTAGTAACATCAAGGATGATATGGATCACTTAGAAAGGAGTATTAAATGCTAGAGCAAAAGCGCACCATTGATTGATTAAATGTCCATAACTTTAAAGAGGCAGTAAACACGGCAGATTCATCAGTGATCTAAAAAAATATGGACTATGAAAATTAATACTTTTAAGGACACAATAACCGGTTCTCTTGAGGGTGGGCCGTGGCGCAATGGTAAGGTTGCTCCATTATGACCTGAAGGTCACAGGTTCAAGTTAGGAAACAGCCTCTCTGCATGGGAAGTTATGGCTGCATACATCAAACCCTCCCCAAACCCCGCAGTGGCGGGAGCCTCGCGCACTAGGCTAGCCCCTTTTTAAGGACTGATTCTCTTGAACTTCCTAACAATTTTTTTTAAAAAAAAGTTACTTCCTAACATTTCCTACAGCAATGTGATCTGCAACACACATACAGAAGGCAGTTTATAGAGATCATTCCAAGGCAAAAGCGGGTCCATTGTCCTAAAATTTAGAGATACTTGGAACACCTAAAGTAGGTGTAATGCCCAGGGCTAGCACAAATCTAATTGAGAAGGATATTCCATGCATGTAGTCTTTCTTTTTCTTTTTTTCCTAGTTGGGACTCACACACACTGCCTCCACTGAGGTTTGAACCACTAACCTCCCTTTGGGAAGTAAGAGTCTTGTACCGCTAGGCCACAAGACAGTTGGTTCCATGCATGTAGTCTAGATATACTTCTCAAAGGAAAATGAAAAGGCCCCTAGTTCCAACTATGATAGCTTATATAACTTTACCTGCTGATGAAACAAGAAATTCTTCCCACAAAGGATTTAAGTTTGTCCCCATGAAAGTCCTGATAAAAAAACAAAAAAAAAAAAAAAAAAGGAAAGAGAGAAAAAATTATTGTGGGAGAATAGTGTTGATGGGAAATTAAATAAGTAACAAAGTTGCAAGTAAAAAATGCCATAATGAAATTCATAAATTTAGCCATTATTCAACAAAATAAAAAACCAAGCAGTATTCAGTTATGGGCACAGTCAAACAACAGCAGAATAAAACTATTGCAGGTGCATGTCTTTGTTATATCAAAACTAAAGTTAGAAACAAGAATTGTAGTTTAATCTCATAAATACCAAGTCAAGTCAGGTATTCATGAAACTATGCGGGTGATTTATCAGCGAACTCAAAGATTTTGACTTTAACTGACAAAAATTATGTATCCAAGGGGGATGGCTCTCCCTAGTCCCTACTTGCTCACATTAACCTTGCTCAAAGTTTAGATAGGCGTTTTCCAGGTGTTTGTAAAGGTCCTTTAACAAACTATGTCCAAAATTGGAAAAAAGAAACCGAACAACATAGGAAGATGAAAACTAGGTTAATCTTTATCCAAAAAAAAAAAAAAAAACACTTGGTTAATCTAGAAAATAAACTTAGAATGCTGTTAATAAGCTTAAGAGCATAGGGGAGAAGTGACACAAGTTTGGAAAAAGATGATTGTGGCAAGGTAAGCAGAGTATGAATGTGCCAGGTCCCTAGAGGTTACAGGTCCCAGGTCATATTCTAAATTATTAACGGAATTGAAGTAGTGGTATGCAATTTGGATGATGATTGAGATTTTCCAACACCATTTGACGTGGCTAGGCTTCTTTCCTGACGACATTACTAACTTGCACTGAATAATGCAGATACCAACATTATTTATTAAGATTGGAGAGTGCAGCTACTTGAGTTCCTATGCACTCATTTCACAAAATGTCATGGATCCATCCCATAAACATAAAGCAAAGTGGTTTATTTCCATAAACAGTTCAGGATCTTTATCAATTAAACAATTTTTTTCATATTTGTAGTGGGCAGAGCTGGGAAACCCATAACTTACAATTTTATCTTCGATGTCGCAATTCCATTGCAGCACAAGGAAACCACATTGATAAAAAAAAATGTTGCCAATAATAAGAAATTGACAATAGACCACTGATAAACCCGATGCAGTTTTTGCTTTGTGAATCAGATTTGGAACAGTTATATGTGCCCCCTTTTTTAGCTAGTCCAATTAGGTATTTCATATCTACTAAATTTCATGTCAATCAGCTGGTGCTCCATTTGAGGTTTGCTTAAGCATTGACAAAGAACACTACTTGTTTCGAAGTAAAGCAATTAAATTTTACATTGTCCTACAATTCATTTTGCTTATAAGCTATGTTACCTGGACTCGGGTGGGTGTTTCGGATATTAGTATCATATATCCAAGCGTCGAATGTGTCAAATTCCCAAATAGAAGGACACACGACTCAGCTAAACGTTCATTACTATTTTTTATATATTAGGGTAAAATGATGTCTTTGTATAACATAGTGTTTAATATAGGCATTTCACTTGTTTTTGAAGAGCAATATTATAATATAATATAATTGAATTGTTGAATGTGTTTTTCAGGTGCATATCCAACCAAAAGTGTTGGACACATATCCCATACCCATGTCTGAGTATGTGTCGAACATTGATACTCCAATAACTTTTGAAGAGTCCATGTAACATAGTGTAATGGATGGGCACCTGCCCATTTACCCAAAACTCAAGTCGTTGGATAGTGCTGCATACCCACCCATTTATACACACTTCAACCCCCATTCAAATCCAATGTAGGACAAGTCCCACTTGTAACATTCTCCATTACCCGAACCTGCGCAACGCCCTCGTTGCGGTCGGGCCACCTTGCCTTCTTGAGGTCAGACCTGGATGCCCTCCGGACCAAGCGCTTGGCGTGACACCGGATTAAGGACTGGATCTGACTCTGATACCAACTGTAACGGGTGAGCGCTTACTCATTTACCCAAAAGCTCAAGCTGTTAGGTAGTGCTGCATATCTACCCATTTATACATACTGCAACCCCAATTCAAATCTAATGTGGGACAAGTCCCACTTGTACCACATACCTTATAGGGTAAAGTGCAAAACACCCCTCCTAAACTATTGCCCTTTTACAAACGACCCCCTGAAATAATGATTTGTTGCAATTAAGGACAAACCAAACACAAAAGACTATTTTACCCTTTCTCATTAAATTTTTAATTTCTTATTAAATTATTTTTATTATATTTCTCTTATCTAAATATTAATTATGCCATTTACCTTAATTTTATTATTAGTATCAATTTATCATAAAAATTAAAAATAAATAAATGGAGTTGTAACTACCATTTTCTAACATGATAAACTTATTATTAAAACTTTACTATTAATTTCAAGAATTAAAGATAAGTTTATGCAAATTTAATGGAGAATATGTCATCAAATTAGTATGAATTTTTTTCATAATTTATTTTAATAAAAAAAATGGATTAAGTGTAATTCAATAAGAAAGGACGTTATGGTCATTTAATGAAAATAGCCCAGGCATGGGGGCATTTTGCAACAAAATGTGATAGTTTAGGGGATATTGTGCACAAAATATACTTCAAGGGGTTATTTGAAAATTCAGACCTAGTTCAGGGTTTTTTTTGCACTTTACCCTAGCTTATAATCCAACTTCTCATTATTTTACATTATTCAAGAGTTGAAGACTCTCTTCAATTTTTTATTTTATTTTTTTTTTACTTATCAAAATATATATATATATATATATATATATATATATATATATATATTCAAGAGTTGAAGTTGAATTCTCCTTTTCTTTAGCAGCTAGGCACATTTTAATATTCAAAGTAACAGAAGAACACAAATAAGCATTGTCCAAGAAACTTGCAGAATATAATTCCTTCATTTAATTAGACTATAAACCCAAATTGGTTACTTTATGATCAGAATAACAAATATCCAAATTTAGAAAACAACTGATTAACAAAGATTCTCATCACCCCTTCATTCACCATAACTTCGCTTCAAATACTGATAAATATAATCAGAAATATGCAATTTGAAACTTTTCCGAAACAAAATTTTATAAATGGAAGCAATAAATTATATTTGTAACTTTTCTATTACATGTGAACAGGGAAGGGAGAGAGAGAGAGAACCTATAATCTGTCAAACCAAGGTGGAGGCATACATGGGGCTCTTCATTGGAATCACCCCCACCACGCATGATGTGTCCTCCATACTGTAAAATTATTAATTAACTAATCAATTAATAGAGAAACGATGTCAAAATAATATAAACATAAACTTCCTTTCATTACATATGATGACTTGTAAATGCATCAAAAATTATATGCATTAGGCCTAAATGTTTCAAATCACCAGCCCAATTATGTTAATTTTATTGCATCATTATGCAACACAAACACTTCAAGATGGGATCCTTGCTCGTATCAGAAACATGTTGGACACTGCATGAACACAAACACCTGACATCTCTGAGTTATTAGGCATGCTCTAAAAGTAAAAATTGTCTTGAACCTTATAATAGATACTGTGGTTTTAGATATGTAATATGTTAGATATATCCACTCAAACAGTACACCCTGTGCATCAATATAGGAAAAATATACCCCTTCCTCCCTGAATTAGTGTACATTTACTTTTTCTTGGATTGTTGTCCATTTTGAGAAGTAAATTAGCATTACTAAATTTCCAAACATACTCCTTGTAGTAACTTTTTCACCCTTCATACACATTGACAGGTGAGGGTAAATGTGGAAAACAGAAGTATAGTCAATCATTGTGACACCATTAATTCTTTAAACATGTTTGGACAAAGAAGAAAATTATTTAGCAGAGAAGGGAGTATAGTTCTTCATTATAGTAAAGAAGCAGAATCTAGCTTGTTCTAGGTGGCATGTTTATGCTCTATTTTAGATTTAGTAACTTTCAATGAATTAGAATAATTGATTGCATTTCAGTTTTTGTCTGATAGTCAACATTTCTCATGCTCTATATCTTGATAAATAAAATATGAATCCAAGAAAACAACTATTAGTAAGGAGACAAAGCTTATAGATAAATTAATAAAAAATTATTATTATTATGGTTAACTCGTATTTAATAATTTTATGTATGAGAGATATTTTGTTGATGCATCAATTTTTTTTTTTTTAAACATTTTTCCACATCAATGTTCCTTCATGAATGAACCTTTGTCCACGTTAAATAACTTCATAGGTTCATTAGTCAAATCTCTCATATATATTATTCTAATTCAACTAAAATCAGGATCTCAATTTTCTACTCTGATTACCCAAACAATTATATATCATCAATGTTGATTTTAGTCACCTCTTGTTCCAAAATTCTTTTAACAAGCTTTAGTCACCTCATTATTCATAACCTATTATGCTAATGAATTCTTCACGTGAAAAAGTTAAAAATAAAAATAGCAGCTTAATCAAAATCATTCCGTCAACAAAGATCATCACTTAGATGAAGAAGGAAGCCAAAAGATTAAATAAGACAACCTTGAAGCCATTCCTCCTGTCATCCATAATTTATAGTTTACTTCGTATGAATCCTTTAACTTCACGAACACACTCCATGTTATTCATAGTCAAGCAATGTACCAAAGGTTCATCAGACAAGGGGACATGTACAGAATGTATTATGTCACTCAAGAAAATGATGATTCTAATGATCGGTGAGATGAGATGATGATGGTTAAAGGAGAGACGTTCCTGACAATGGTAGTGTCTCCATGTGCCTTATCAACCAAATCAAACAATAGATGTCGGCTTAAATTGTAAATATTTTATAAATTAGAGATGATCCATATAATATAGCAAATCTTGAATGCAGAAATTCTTAAATACCAAGTAGTAGTCCATACTTCAAAAACTGAGAAAATTCAAACATCATGAATTCTTTGGCATGGTTCAGGAATCCTACAACTGCAACAAAATATCAAACAAAAAATCTTGAACCGCATGACATAATTTACCATTCTTTTTGTACACCAAATACATATAATGAGTAAAATTAACAATTGTATAGTTTGGTAGCCATATCAAAAGAGTATATATGTATTATTTTGATACAAGACAACAAACAATAATTTTCTCCACATGATACAAATCTTCTTTTGCATTTATACAAATAAAACAGTTTCACAGAAAAATAGAAAGGTAGAATGCAAAAGGACTGCCGCTGATTGTAAATATTCTATAAACTAGAAAATAAAAACTTAAATGATATAATGATGCATAACATATATTATAGCCTATACTATGAATAAATTGCAGTTGTATACATTGAGAGTAGTGCAAGGCATGAAATTCTGCGGGTATGGATGATAGTTACTCATGTATTTTATTTTGTCAGTAGCTTGTCTAATGTTTTAATCTTCACTAATTTTCCTTTTTCTCATTTTCTTTGCATTGTTGCAACCAGTGGAAATTCTAGACAGTATGAAGCTGCAAGATAGTAGAAAACAGTGAAGATATATAAAAGGTGCAATGAGGTGTAACATACTCTTTAATCCTATCTGCTCTCAACTTATGAGTGAAAGTCTTGACTTCTAACTTTGATTCCTAGCCTTAATATAAGTAGAATTCAGCCAGAAACCAATATTTAGCCATGTATTCTTTTAATTTAAAGGAGCATAATTTAGGACAATTTCCAGCAGATTCAAATAAGTGGATTGTTAGAAAATGTTTCTTGTTCCTCTCTACCATCACTCCTGATCCTAATCTCACTATTTTCCTTTACTACAAACTCCTAAACCATAATTAGTTACCGTGCGGAAGTTCCAGCAAAGTATTCTCTACAATTGTAGTAACTTACCACATCCAAGCCTATTTTTCAACCCTTTCCCATTTATAACACTCACAACCTTTTCTTTTTCCAACCCTTTAAACCGTAATCCTACAAGGTTTCTGTAAGCATAGATCATTCTAAGTAAAACCAAAAGACACATTATTATGAACTTATTTTTTATGCAATAGAGCCACAAGGCGTCATTCCAATAGCAACAAATTTGAAAAAAAAAAAAAAAAGGTCATGTGGTTTTGAATTATGTACAATAGCAGTAAGTGAAATGAAATTTTATACTTCACTAAGTCAATTAATGTGAATTTCAAACATTGAATGTTAACCATGGTAGACGGTAGAATTTCATTGACTGCTTTAGAGAAAATGATCATATTCATAGATTATTATATTTTAATTCTTTTTAATATTAGACAGATTCTATAGATATTTTTTAAAAAATTAAAAATATAGAAATTTAGGCATATGTAAGAATTCATGACCTATTGCATAAAATGATATAAACATAAGTCAATATATGAGTTTCAAGACATGCATATGCATATAACGGAGGGATAACCACAGAATGAAAACCCAACAGACCGGATCAGCAAAAGCTATGTTTTGTGGGTTGTGGCAGTGTCTAATTTTTCATTGATTATAACAGGGAGATCAGACATATAATGCTCATGATGGTTGTTTGTATGACAAGACTTATTCTGTTGTCTAAAGGAAGCACCAGAATCAGATGAACCTGTGAAAGGTAACATAAAAAATCCACCAAAAGTGAATCAGTGAAAGAAGCTTGAATACCAAATGGAGATTCACATACTCTGAATTTTGTCCCATTGAACAGTGATGAGTTTTGTTTAATCCTCCGCTCCCAAATCTAACAGCACAAAACAAATTAAAACTTTCAGATACATGATTCAGGATGTGTATAGAAGTCCAACAAATAACAATACAATCTATTTTGTTTTGAAAGCATAGATGCCCAAAAGCTGCTTGTGTAATTAGATGCGTAATCCCGATCATGAAATGAAATAGCATTGCTTGTATCAATTAAACCAATGTTAATGTGTTTTACCTACAGGAAAAAAAAAAAAAAAAAAAAAAAAAAAAACAAAAAACAAAAAAAAAGGAAGAAGAATAAGATAGATCAGTGCTATTTTTTAACCACCCCAAAAGAATACCCAAAAAATTGATAAAGAAAGTGGGCCATACTTCACTTTTTAAATCCAGATGATGTGCAACTATTTTCAAGAATGCTGTGGCCACACCAGCTTCATAATTTCCAAATAGACAGATCTTCACATACCATACAACATAGTATCATTTCAATACTGTGCAAAACACAACAGACTCCATCCACCGACTCAATTTCCAATGATTTGCTAAAATTAACATAATGCAAATTGGATAATATGAAGTAAATATATGCATCTAGATTCAGACACACACACAAACACATATGCTAATACATGTCTCACATTCATAAATAGATTCAGTGATCGACTAACACACGTATATGCTAACATTATATTCATATAAACTGACAATATGTAAGAAAATAATTGTAGGCAAAGATAGATAATCCAAGACTCACCTCAGAAACGGAGTTCTCCAAATTAACGTCCGGATGGAGTTTTCTATCGTAAGCTTCATCAAAAACCACCGACACCTTTGTGTATCCAACATTAATAAATTGTTTTAGACAATAGCATAAAGAATAAGAAATAAATAAATAGAACGATATGAAAAGATTTATAAATTTGTGAATTTGCCGATACATAAATGTTTATATATATATATATATATATATATATATATATGATGGCACTAGAAGTGGAACCTGAGATGGAGAGAGACCAGAGGGACACGATAGAAGAAGCTTGAATGGAAGACGATCGAGATCGGCGACCTCAGTACTCGGACCTCCCCCTTTCTTCTCCATTACACCCAGTTCTCGCGCGCGCCTAAAACTGGCTTTAGATCGAAACTTTTACAAGATTTCAGGGAATGGGGAGAAAACGTTTTTCATTTTTTTTCCTTCCTTTTCTTTTCTTAAATAAATGTTGAATTCTCTGTTGACGTAAAATATTTTTATCTAATTTTTTTTTTTTTTTTTAGGTAAAATATATATGTATATATATATATATATTTTTTTTAGTATTTAACAAATGTTTATATGGATATTGAAATCGAGTCCATTACATAATATATGTAAAATAATTTGTCAAAAATTAATAAATAAGTTATTTTTGTTAAATTTTATTTTTTTATTATTTATAAATATGATAATAAAACACCAAAAAACGCATAAATATTTTACACTCAAGCAATAACAACTCATTTAAATTGGGTGCTATTTCACAATAATATGGCACAATTAGCCGTGAGGTGACATCGTTTTGGTATATGTCACATATATTCAACTTAGGAGGCTTGAAAAATAAATTAATGAAAAAGAAAGGCCATGCTTAGAATGGGAGTTTCACAAAACAGAAAACAGGTGTTTCAATCTTCCTCGGGCCTATTTTTTGGAAACAGTTTCTGTAAAACTGAGTTTTGATAGTTTTGGTTTTTAGAAAACAACTTGAGGCTGTTTTCAGAGTTTTTAGTAAAACTGAGTTTTGATAGTTTTGGTTTTTAGAAAACAACTTGAGGCTGTTTTCAGAGTTTTTAGTACTGTTGAGGGACTATAAGGCTTCGTTTAGATACACATGAAAAAAAAAAAAAAAAAAAAAAAAAAAAAAAAAAGGAAAAGAAAAGAAAAAGAAAAAAAGAAAGAAAAAGAAAAGGATTATGAGAGAAAAAAAATGATAGTTATATTCATGTTTGGATAGATAAAAAAAAAAAATGGTAATATTGTTGTTTAGATAACATAAGGGAGTGAAAGAAAGGAAAGGATAATAATGAAATTACTATCTTACCCTTTTTGGTAGAGTTAGTAGGTCAAAATCATTTCAGTCTCCCTAATCGCCTTCATCTCTTTATTCTTGTTCTTACAGATCTCTCTCTCTCTCCAACTGCAAACTACAAAATCTACAAGAATCAAAAGATTGTTCTTTCAAGCTTGACCCCCTCTTTCTCTGTAACTGCTAACTTGTATGTATGTGTTTTATTTTAATTTTTTTTCTAAAATCAACTAATCAAGGTCTGTAATTCTTGTTTTGCAACTCTCTCTCTCTCTCTGTGCAACTGCAAACTATATATATATATATTTCAGCCTCCCTAATAGCCTCCCTCTCTCTGTGTGTGCAACTGTAAAAATCAAAACCCATATCCGCATATCATTTCAGATTGTTAAAAAAATCAAAACCCATATCTATCAGTTTCCATCACCCGCTGTTCCAGTTAGGTCCCCATTCGCAAAGCTTCAGCCGGCTGTCTCTCAACTCTCTTGCTCCTTTTGTAATTTGTTCCATTTCTCCTTAAATCCCTCCAAATCTTGTCAATTTTGGAAGGATTCCAAATGAGTTATCATTCCCAATCCATTCTTTTCTCTCTTATTCTTCCCATCCAAACACCCTAATCACTATCCTTCCCTTTATTTTCTCTCCAAATCCCTCTAAATCCCTCAATCCAAATGAAGCCTAAAAGAAAACACGGAGAACACTTCCGCCATTTTTTTATTTATTTATTTTTACTGTTGTAAACAGATTCCAACGAAGACAAACATTAAACATTGTCATTGGCTGCTAAATGAAGAATATCAGCAGGAATAAAACCAAAAGTAGTATCCATACAGATGTGAGAACGAGATAACTTTGCCAGGGTATTTGCAACCTCATTGCCATTCCTATGAACATGGCTAAGATGTGTGAAAGAGAATCGCCCAAACGTCACCTGGATATCAAAGCAAATTGGATGAAAATCAGTCAGCCCAGGAGTATCTCCATTTACAGAATTAACCACTATCAAAGAATCACATTCAAACCAAACATTAAGATATGAAAATGAGGGAGCCCAAATAACCGCTTTTCTAAGACTGATAGCTTCTGCAACCGTGGCACTAGCAGCAGGGAAAGGAGAAAAAATCACCGCTTGTAAAATATGGCCCATAGTATTACAGAAAACAGCACCACCACCCCTCGTCTGGAAAGAATTGAGAAAAAACGCATCAACATTACATTTAACCAAATCTACCCTCGGAGGCAGCCAAAGAGAATGATAGGGGGAGAATTGGGAAAATTTAGAAATAGAGGATCCGGAACAAAGAATGGAAGAAATGGCAGATGAGACCTCGTTGTACTCCTAAAACTGAGAACACGCCACATCAACAACTTTAGAGGAATCCCACCACTCATCATCATACATACACTTATTCCAAGCTTTCCAAATAACCCAGCGACAATAGGCCGCCAAACCCAAAAAATCCATACCCCCCCTGCCTTAAACTTCCAATGATCAACTAAAGCCAACCACCATTCGGCAAAAGAGGATGGCGTATCAGACATAAAATCAAGTCGAAATGGTGAAAGTTTCCAAATAGAAATGGAAATAGGGCAGAAAAAAAAAAAATGTTCAATAGATTCCATAGCCCGGACCACAACGAGGACACACCACATCGGTCTCAATACCATGATCATGCAAAAGCGCACAGATTGGAACAGCTCGTTTACAACACTTCCGTAAAAAATGTTGAATTTTAGGTGGAACTTTACATTTCCAAATAGACTACCAAAACAACTTATTATACAAAGGTAAACGAGAGACCTCCATAGATCGACTATTCACTTGTTGAGCTAATCGATAGGGCGACTGAACTAAAAAAACACCATTGGGCTCCAAATCCCAAACCAACTTGTCTTCCCTGGGGAAGAAGCTAAAACTACACCTGAGTATAGCTACTACAGTGGAAGATAGGAAAAGAGAATAAAGCAGAGGCTCATTCCCTCCAACACCAGAAGGGTCCAGTAAATTAGAGACCATATTAGGACTACTCAAAAGATTAGGGCGTAAAAGTGTACCAGGGATACCAGGGACCCAGCGATCCTTACAAATATGAATAGACTGTCCATTCCCCACAATCCACCTAGATCCCATAGCAATGAGAGGTTGAGTGGACCAAATACTACGTCACGCCCAAGAAAAATTAAAGCCCAACTGTGCTTCCAGGAAGGAAGAATTGCGAAAATATTTAGCTTTAAAAAACTGAAAAGCCAGTCACTGCTGTTTAACTAAAAAATGCCATCCCTGCTTAGCCAACAATGTTTTGAAATCCTAATCCCCTGTCCTCCTTTGGTTCACATAATAAATCCCATTTAATCCAGTTAATACTATGAGCCATCCCCGCTTTAGCCCACCAAAAGTGACGAACATGCTTTAAAATAGATTGACAAAGCTTATGGGGCAACCTAAAGCATGACAAAGCTTATGGGGCAACCTAAAGCATGACAAAGCTTTCGCCACTTAAATGACGCCAACCCTCGTATCGTTTATAACACAAAGCCGCGCAACATCCATCTTCTCTCTCTTCAACCTCTCTACAATGCATCGTCTCTCTCTTCAACCTCTCTGATCTCGTCTATAACGTTAAATTAGCTGTACAAGGGTTTTGACCTTTTATCTCCGGATTCTCCTCTTATTTGAAGAGCCCTCTCTCAGATTTCTTCAAGCCATATCTGCACTTCTTTCCTCACAATTGTCTCTCTGTTCAGGTAGAACTCTCTAACCCTCAAATTTCTTTAATCCATACAAGATCTACGATTTTTCTCTCACAATCGTCTATGATCTTATCAATTGTTAGAATTTTTTTTTTTTTTTTCATTTCGGGTAGAGCAATATTTATATGGAATATATATATATGTGTGTGTGTGTCTGTGTGTGCATACATATATTTAGAGGCTAATTGAATTGATGTTTCGTGGTAGATCACTGAAGACTTCATTCAGACTTTCGACCTTTTTAATCTCTCTCAAGATTGAAGCAGAGAGAAAATTGAAGAAGCTACGCTGTGTCTCTCTCTTGCTCTTGAGGGTATTGTTGATTAATCCTCTGTTCTATATTATTAATTCATATCTATTGCTTGAAGCTGAGAATTTTGCATCCAATCCAGTTGTTTAATTTTTATCATCTGATCTGGGTATAGTCTCTTTTTATTTTTTGATGATGATTTTGAGTGCTTGTTAGATTTTCTTGGGATTTTTCTGAAGAATAATTTTGGGTATTGCTCTAATTTTATTTTCGTTAGTTTATTTATTTTTACTTTATTTCTCTCTTCTTTTGGGGTTAAATTTCTCTTTCAGTTTTTAACTCTGAAGTTGTCTTCTATTCATAGTTCTTTTTCTTTTTGATAGATTAGTGCTCTCTATACTCCCATTTTGATCTTGTAACAATATGGACATAAACTATGCAGCACAACAATACAGTGGTGGTAATTGACTTGTATCAATTGGGATTTAATTCAGGCAAAGATAATGGAAAGGTCCATCTTACTTTAATCATTTTCACATAATGTTGTTGGCATCATCTAATTATTTTTTCACAACAAAATGCTTAAATAATTTGATGGTGTTAATTGCCTTGGAATAATCTGATTGATTAAATTGGAATTTTCTAAGCATATAGCCAGAATAAGGGATTGTCTCTGGCATTGCTTTTTAGTTCATGGCAATTCTAAAAACATAACCATTGATGTTATAACTAGGGATTTGATGTAGGTTCTTGGAAAATCTGATACTAGAAATCTGAGATTCATTTTGCCAGATTTCTTTCATTTTTAGGGCTTTTCTCCGGATGTAATTTTATATATGCATTAGATAAATGACATACATATATCAAAAAAATTGTGATCATAACTTTTTGTTTTCTATTTGGTAAAAAAATGAAAAATGTGGCATGTAAAAAATTGTTTTTTGAAATATTGAAATTATTTTAATTAGTTAATGAAGAGCAGTTCCATTTCCTCTATTCCATCTTCAACACGTTTGATTAAATGCTACTAATTGATCTTCAATTTTAGAAGTCTCAAGTTGATAGAATAGAAAAAATCAAATTAATAGACCTAAATATTGCCTTAACCTAATGAATATTTGCTGAACACAGATAATTATGAACTTGTGAACTAAGAACTGTTTTGCATGAACAAAGAGAATAATGAATTTCTTTTAATTGTGAACTAAGAATTTGTAACTAGAAAACAATGATATGTGAGACTCGGGTCATATGCACCATCCGCATCTTAATATATTAGTGCTTTTGGAATGAATACAAGACCATTGATGAGTGGATCACATGTTTTATTAATTTATTTAAGAGTATAGATGTTACAAGAGTTTCATGCTAATTAATTATTTGTTCATTTGTCAAAATGCACAAGGTGACCATTTTTATAGAGTATGAAACAGATTTTGATGTTATCCATGAGGAAATACTAGCACCATGGTGTCCTAAATTATTATTATTTTTTTTATTGAAGTAAGCAAAAAAAGTCATGGCCTTGTGGGATGGAAGCACATATTTTTACAAGTGATTCTTATCCAAGTTCTAAAACTGATGAAGAAGGTTATCCATTCAGATAAACTGTCCTTTTATATGTGTCTTAGACTGTGACAAAAGGAACAACTCCTGAGGTGGGTGGTCAGCAGGGAATAATAATGCTCAGATACCATTGACAATAATAATTAGAGTGGTCCTCTTGCATTGCTCTGGTTTATGTTATGAAAAGATTTGCATATGGTTTTCTAAAGGATACTTCCTACTTATTGAGGGAATGGTGAAGGGTGTTGCCACCTAGTTTTGGAGGAGGAGTTCGTCATTTGCTTGTTGATCTCTTGGTGTGTCGATTTCTTTCTTGTATGCAGGAATGGAATTGCTGTAGATGTGAGTTGTTATTGTAATAGTAGTCAGGTTGTGCAACTTTATGTTATTTTTGTAGTTTCTCTACAGTCTAATTGGATGACATTATTGAATTTTTCGAGTCTGCGATTATTGGACTGTATAGTTTTTCTATAAGAAATGAATAGTTATAATCACACATTAGCTAAGTTGATTATATTTAGCTTTGTTTGTTGAATAAAATCATTCCTTGATGAATTTTTTTTTTTAATAGTAATGACATAGAATATATTTATGTATATAGTTAAGTTTGATTCAATGATGTTAAATGTGATATAACAATAAAAAAAAAAAAATTATTTATTTTTTCTTTTTTCTTTTTAAGTTCAGAAACTATTTTTAGACAACCAAACAGTTTTTTGAATTAATGGGTCTTTTGATAAACATATCTTATTAAAGGTCTTTATCCCAATCCATGCATGGTAATACTAAATATTGGTGTACTGAATGTACATAATGGTGCAGCACAAATGGGACCCCTTAGAACTCATCTAACGAATCAAATATGAGCATCAAATATGAGCATCATTCGGAGATAATGCTAGATGAAATTACTTTTATAATATTTTTATTTATTTTCTTAGTTTAGAAAATTATTTTCAAAAACTCGTATAACCAAGTAATTTTATAAGTTTTTGTTTTCCGGAAACTGTTTTGTAAATTCTCTTAACCAAAAAGATTTGAAATCTGAAAAAACTGAAAATGGTTTTATGTTTTGATTCTCTGAAAACTGTTCTTGAGAATTGTTTTCATAAATGCGATCCAAGCAAGGCCAAAAGTTTTGTGATATGAAATTATTATGGTAAGAATGATGGTTTTAAGTGGTGTTGATGGAAAAATAAGAAAGGTAGAAATTGTATCCCAATTAAAGAATCTCTTCTATTGATGCAATTTTAGTCATGCAAAATTAAATACCAAAAAACAAAATGTGCATTGCATCTCTGCATAAGAAAATTTCAAATATGTATATATTAAATACTCGAAGACAATTAATTATAAATTATGTTTGGCACGGCTTAAAAGAAACTACAACATAAAATAAAAGAAAGAAAAGGTTAACTCTCTTTGTGTAAGGTTGACTAATGAAACAAAAAAAATATATAATAGTCATAGTACTTTTATCAAGTTTGAAAAAAGAAAGAAAAAGAAAATATATTTTAATGAATTTATTCTTATATCTTATATCTTATATCTCCCCCTTTTGAAAATTGAAAAGTTATACCATTAATTTAGATATCATCGTGCTGCAAAGTCTACTATACCTACATCATAAAGTCCAAATGGCAAACAAAGTGACAATCTGAACACAAATGAAGAATTATAGAGAATAAAAACAATTTTGATTTTGTTTTTTATAAAAGTAAGAGCAAAATTAAAATAAAATAAAATTTTCATTAAACAATTTACATGTATATAATATAAGTTTCCTCGTTTTCTTCCCAAAATTACCATAATATGTAATAATAAGATCAATTTATTCAATTTCTTTTAAAATTATATTGTGTATATTTTGAATTAGTTTATTCTATCTCTTACTCTAGTTAAGGATGGCAATTTTTACCGCCCTGCCGGAGCTCCATCCCGCCCCGTTAATAATGGGATATGGAAATAAATTTTATACCGTCAGGGCGGGTATAGATACATTTTTTGTACCCGCCGCAGGTCACGGGGCGGGTACGAGTTCTGATTCATATCCGTCCCGCCCCGCTCCGTTATATACAATTCTTTAAATTTTAAAATATATATATATATTATAAGTTACTCTAAATAACTTATAACCCTAATGCATAGTAACAGTGTGCCTCCACATCCGCAAATTCACAACACAGGGGTTGGCGCATCTTACCCAAAAACCAAACTCTCGGTCCACTTAGGCAGTTGAAATCGATGATTCATTTGAATCTGTGGTAAAATCTCTTGATTCTCTTCAAGTTTTTCTCTGCGTACTTAAGGTTTGGGTGACCTGCGCAACACGAGTTAGAGAGAAGATCTGGGTTTTGTTAATGGAGAAAGGTGAGGAGAAAGAGGGTTGTGGTGGTGAATAATGGTGGGTTTGTCTTTTGACGAAGGAGTAGAGTAGGAGAGAGATTGGTAAGAAGAAAATTCATTATTTTTTAGTCGATCAATTGTTGTCTGGACTCAATTTATCATTTCACAATTCATGAGAGAGGGAGAGACACTAGCGACAGACTTTGTTAGTGCTCTTTGAGTCGATTTAGGTTTGTTCATATTTTTTTCAATTGCTGATTCTACATATAATATTTTGGTACTGATTTTTCTGGGAGTTTGGTTGAAATTTTTTTTCTCTTGCTAATTTGATGAATACGCCAAAGGTAAATTGTTTATTTGTTTGTTTGGTTTTTTCTTTTTCATAATTTTCAGTACTATGGAAGACATGGGTAACCACATGTTCCAATGGATTGATATATATGTTATTCCAGTAGTCAAAAAAGGAAGAAAAAAAAATGTTAACGGGGCAGGCGGGGCGGGCACAGGTATTGTCATCTCCCAACGGGGCGGGGATGGACTTGGGAATTCAACCCGTCCCAGGGCACAGGGCCAATATGGATTTGTCACTAAACAGACGGGGCGGGGACGGATTTAGTCAAACTCGCTTTGTTGCCATCCCTAACTCTAGTTTAATAAATAGTTATATACATCAAATGTTCAGTCGAAATTAAACAAAAAAAAAAAAAAAAAAAAACCGTAAGAATGTTAAATTAGTGTGAATATTCTAGGACATAACCTTAAAAATAACGGGGGGCAACCAACACGTCAATATTCATTCACATTGAAAATCCATCATTTGTGTAGTGGTGGAACCGTGGTAGTTTTCCTGTGGTAATGTATGACTGATATTGTTTCTCAACTATTTCACATGACTTAATTTTATTTTTGTTATTTTATCATCACGAATTAAAAATAATAATTTATTCAAAGAATAATCGAGTATAAAAAATACAAAGAATCGTGGAATATGTTTCTATTCTGCACTGTGCTTCAGTATGCATAGAATATCTACACTGTTGTTATTAGATTATATATATATATATAGCCGGCAATTAAAACTGATCTACGTCTGACGCCGTTCACTCGATTTCGATGGGTGGGACGACGACGACGTACCACCCGAACCTCCCGTTCCGTGAAACAAATCAGATAAGTAATTTCCCAAATCGTCGGGGGCAAATCTGACCAACGAATCAACGGCCACATCTCGCCGGAACATCATCTGGTACTTGTCGTAAAACGCTAGGTAGGAGGGCCCGAGTTTCTTGGCGAGCGAGACTTTGATTTCGTCTCTGAGTTTCGGGTCGGGCACGACCCAAGATGTCTGTTTCCGGTACGCCTCTTGGAAGGCCGAGTTGAATCTCTTGAAACACTCCTTGGCTGCTTCAGGTGAAATATCAGCCGTTGAATTCTCAGGCAACGATGAGATCACTTTGCTCCATCCCATCCGCTCGTAGTTCGCTGCGTACTGTCTCACCTTCGTGTTGTGCTTTATCAACCAGTCCTCGCCTAAGAGCAGCCTTAGGTTTGATGTGCCAACCTTCAAAACGACATAGTTTAGGTTGTTTGCCAAAAATAGATACGAGAGTGACACGTCTTTGTAGAGCTCGGCTTTGGCATCGAGTTTGCAGAGGAGGATTAGTATGAGCCAGGCCAATCGTACGGATATCGACGACGTTGGGCTGTCGTCGAAGCTGGGGCTCGAGAAGTAAGATTCCGGCATTGGAGAGTGGACGGATAACGGCCAGTCGGCGACAATGTCGGAGAGTATTCCGCTGTAGTCCGAGAGGAAAACGACGTAGTTCATGACGTAACGCGTCAGAGGATGAAGCCCGCCGCCGGTGACCGGCGATTTCGACGAGTCCTTTTGGATGGCCGTCTCAAAATCAGACAGCATTGCACGGACGTTTTCGCCCAGCTTGACGAGAGAATTGACGGCTTGTAAACGGACGGTGGTGGTTGATTCGAATGAGAAGATCGATTCGATTTCAGGCCAGAAGTCGGAGATGGACTCGTAGAGATCGAGTACACGAAAGATTTTCTCCGGTGATTTCTTGGATTTGGCGACCAGTTCGGGGAATGCGAAGAGAGTGAGTGCGCTTTCTTTCGCAATTTCCGCAAAAGAGGACTCTCTGATTCCGGCTGAGGCGGAGAAGACGTGATCGGAGAGGATTCTCTCACCGAGGAAGAGAGTTTTCATGGCGATCTTCACAGCGTCCAACCAGCTCTTAATCTTGATCTCGATCACCTCCCAATCCATCTTATGAATCTGAGACGAAGTTAATTTCTCAACTCCGAGATAGTACAAGCTTTCATCAACTATCGATTTTCGAATAAGTTTGTAAATCTTCATGCACTCCTTGCCATAACCACATGAAATCATGCAATCCGCGATCAGTTTTAGATCGGCCATCGCATTCTCCGAGACACTATCCACATCCGAGGTTGAACTACCATCAATATGCTGAATCTCATCTTCCGATGTATAATCTTCAAAATCTGAAGTGCTCGTTCTCGCCGTCGACGCTCCTGACGACTGACTAGTAACGGATTCTGGATCGAGGTAGTTCCGATTCGTTGATAATATCTGATAAAACTCTTTCTGAAGTCTCTTCATAGCGATTTCCATCAATTTATGAGGCCGAACAAGCTTATCAGAGCTCAAATTCTCGGACATGAAGAATTGCATCGCAGTGTGCAAGTGCTTCACGGATTTGAGAAACTCCTTGGCCTCTCTCCGATCTTCGCTAAAGAGAGATGCAACTTTACAGTAGGAGGAAGCTTCGACCTCCCATTTTGTAATGATTGATTCAGCAATTTCAATGTTCTGTGCCATGATCGACGCAGATATATCACTTCGTGAAGGCGAAGAAGTAGTACTACTCATGGTAGAGTGCGAAGGTGATGAAGGCTTGGATGAAAAGAAGATACTCCTCATACCTTCTCTTTAGAAACTCACTATATATATATAGATTTTCAGTTTATTGAATGGAAAGAACTTTTTGTTTTTATAGAGAGAGAGAGGATGTGTTCCAATGTATGGTGTTGGAGCTGAGAGTTCTAG